CTGTTCCTGTCACTTGTGTTAGTTATCTAGTAACCATGAAATAGAGCATTTAAAAAAGGTAACAAACCAGTAAAATGGACTAAACTGAACAATAACAAGCCATGTGTAAATCAAAGTCTCCAAATTGGAAAAAAATAAACAAGTAAGCTTTTAAAAAGGCTGTTGTTTGGCTGTAGTTTTGACTTTTGAGCAACAACTTTGCTATCGATATAAACAGATAAACTGACTATGAAAAAACATAGCTAAGGACGTCAAGGGCGTCTGTATCATCACTGCTATCTAGGTAAGCAGAAATGCAGTTAGACTCATCTTTTTCCACGTCTGACACATTACAGCACATCTCTTTGGGATATCCCTCGTGAAAAGGGATGTATAAATGTGTAAAACTGTGGTACAAATCAAAAACTGGAGTATTTTAATTAAAAAAATCAATTTAAACCAAACAAACGTACTTAAAATTAGCTAATTTTGAAATGTTTTTAAAGATAGTATTAAGAACAAGTATTGGGGTACTCGTTCAGAAGCACTGAAGAGCATTCAAAGCCTATGAAATGCGGTTTGGCCAGCCCTAGAGTAGTCATGACAGCCATAATTATTTGGCAACCTGTTAAATTAAATTCGGCTAAAATCTAGTTGTCTGTGAATTCTCTTTTCCAGCATAGATATTATCACCTGTCAAGAATTGGTGTTGGGTTACTGTCAGTCATTGCCGATATTTGATTACGTCGCTGTGTCCTAATAGCCCTTACATTATGATTGTGCTAAGATGGGGTACGGTGCAGGCTGGCTGCTAAGCACTTTGGCGATCTCTTCTGGCTAAGCCTGTTGGATCTAACACAATTAATGAGAGCGCTTACATGAGGTCTGTGGACAAATACAAAGACTGTCGAAAGCATAGTCTGGGCAATAGCTTTTTTTTTTCCAAGCTTATGAATCGTAAAAGCATAAGCACTTCTGCCACTGCTTGTGGAGTATAGTGCTAGATGTTGGCTCAGTAGTCTGCACCAGTCATGAAATTCTCCCGTAATGGAGTTATGTGCCAACTGAGTTGGGTGTTAATGCTCTAAATTATTTTGGTGTTCTGCCAGCTCAAACCTCAAGAACAAAATCTGCGCATAAAGCTTGTTTTTTTTTTTTCTTTGGTCCGGAAAGGGTTGTCATGGAAATCCTGCACTTAAATTCTCCACAGAGACCATATAAAAGCCCATGGAAATGTGTCGGGGGGCTGAAAAACAACAATCTAACGCTTTCTCTCTCTCCGATTCTCTTTCGCTCTCTCTCTTCACACCCCCCCTCCACACTCACTCTTCACTCTCTCTGTTTATGACGAGCTCCTGAAGGAACAAAGGGATTATTTAGAAGCCTCATCATGTTTGTTTGCCTCGGATTCATGCAAATGATGGCCGGCAGACTGCTTTTGGAAGCGTTTGGTGCGTTGTGAAAATGTGAGGAGAGAGCTGATCAAATGTGAGGTGATACAGTACGATTACAAATATAGCTACCTGTGATAGCAAGACGGGAGAGGAGAGCGTGATAGAAAGAGAGGGTGAGGGAGAGAGAGAGAGGGAGAAAGAGAGAGAGAGAGAGAATTGCAGCTAGCGCAGCAGAGACAGTGCCTTTTCTCTCTCGGAAGGATTGCATAGCAACAGTGCATTCCAAAGCAAGAGAAACAGATGCATCTCCTTGAAGAGGACCAAGGAAGATGTGTCAAAGGTAGGAAACAGTTGCATCCCACACAGTTCAGGGAGTTATAACCAAGGTTTTCTAGTGAAAAAAACATTTGTGGGTCTATAGAAGTCATCATCAGTTCTCTTTTGTTGCCCTTGTGTATCCATGTGTGTGATTATATGGTGTCTGATACAGCTAAAGGGAATACGATCATGTACTAGCTAAGTCAGCGTTCTTTTTGGAATGGTGATGTATATCAGGAACGCTTTGGGTAAGCTGAGCATATCGTGGGGAGGAGGCTGATTTTCACAAGGTGAAATTTTTTTTTTGATTAATAAATTTTTGTGAAGCTAATAATTATCCTTAAGGTACCAGCGGCCCATGTCTGGTTAACCAGCAAGAACATCAAGGAACCGAATGAGTAAAAAAAAGGTCTTCTATTGGCATAATAAATCAATCAGCAATCAGGAAAAAACATCGATCTATGTACAGACATGGACGCAGACGTGTTTGGTGACAGTTGAACAGACAGGACCACAGACCACTGTAAGAAAGCTTCCTAAGCCGCTGTTCTTTGGGGTTCTTCGGCATTTGAGGGGCTGCCTTAATTAACTATCCCACTCTGGCCTACTTTTCCCCTCTGGTGGGCAAGAGATTAGACACAGTAACTTCTCACAATGGAATACATCTAGCAGTGAGGCTCTCTGAAGCAGCTTCGGCCATTTGTGGGCTTGGATGTGGGTCGCTCACAGTGGTGTTCATGTTCGTTATTTAGAGCAAGCTGTTCCCAAATACAGGTGAGGCAGCAGCAGAAAAGAGGGCCAGTTGGGAGAAGGCTTGCAGCATAAACTGCAACGGAAACATCTACGTGAGAAGAAGGCTTTTTGGAAAGTTGCAGTAGTGTTCTCAAACTGAATTATAAATTATACCAAAATATAGTCATTCAGTATTTAGTCTGCGCATTAATGCTCAACACATATTACATATATTGTGTACTTCATGCGTCTACCGTGTTCACTGGGTTGTATTCACAAACAAGATATTCTGATGAACATTCAGTCCAGCATGTGAAGGCGGTGACTTTATCGCCGTTCTTCTTAAAATACTAGAAGAAGTATCATATACCAGTATTTCCAGTACAAGTATATCTGAATATATTTTGGCCGGATTCTATTTGCACTCTTCACTAAAATGCGTCCCCAATGTGACCAGATGAGATCCAATTTCACTTTCCCTTTTGAAAAGACATATAAATCCTTTCCGTCTTACTTGGAATTGCTTTTTACCCATTGCGAAACAGCTTGACAAGTATAGTTTGGATGCTTTCTTTGGTCCAGAGTTCAAGAAGGCACTTCTTCTTTGGGAAGATGTTTTGGAATAGGTTTTATTTCAACATAACTCCAGCCTTTTGTATTCTCTTGCATTTTCTTGTTGATCCTCTCACCTGCTAGTGCTCAGTACTCAGCAGACCATTTTCACATATGTAATTGTATGTGGATACAGAAAACGCTTTCTTGTTATGCTTGTGTTGAACATCATCAAGATTGGATGTGGGGTGGTCTTATGCATGATAGTAGCTCAGCAACGGCTACACACACCACAGAACACGATCAGTTTCGACTTTTATCCATGCAGCTGACTTAACACTATCACATATCTTCTAAACAGGTGTCATTTTAGCATCAGTTGGCTGGGACCAAGCCTGTGTTGTGTCACACATTCGGCCTGCTAACTAAAACTCTATGGTCCCAAACACCACAGAATAAGCTTTATTTCAGCTTTCTGTCACTCATTCGACTTTTGCTCTGTCAGATATTAGTTTTTATCATCTAAAATTGTGTCAGCAGAGCACCAGTTAGTCAGAATCAAACCTGTACTGTAATATGTGGCACTGTTTGGCTCTGTAGCCAGCTTGCTAAGCTAACCTTAAGTTAGCTGATCTAGCTACAGATAAAAGACCAAAAACAGGTTTAATTTCACCTTTATGTCCCTATAAAACCAGCTGCTCGACTTCACTCCCTCAGAATTAAGTCATGTTGTATTGTGAGCAGAGATGTTATCATGTTAGCTAAGCTAATTATTAATGCTAACAAGCGCCACTATCCTAGTTTGTAGCTGTTTAGCATTTATAAATCATTAGATAAATGATTTGATATTGAATGGTGCATTCAAAATCATGCACTGTATTCGCCTATTTGGTGATCATGTAAGCAAACTAAACCCTCCCCCACATCCCGGTCGGATACGGTTTAGGTCCGAAAAAGAGCACATGTCCACCATGTAAGAGCCCCAGATTGTCACATGATCTCAGTACCAACATTTCCAGAATGGAGCATGACTTTTTTGTCCCTGATATCTGATGTTTTCATTTACAGTTGAACATAGCTATGCACATAGCCTTCCTGCATTCAAAACAAAGCACTGTTTACTACTGTATGACAGATCTCTGCATACTTAATTCTGTCATAGACTTTGTTTTGTCACGTAGCTTAGTCATCTTTTCTAGTGTGCACCACAACAAACTGCCTGGCTCAGGTAGCGTGTACATCCTAAAAATAGGCATTTTCCTGTAATCAGTGTGTGTGTGAACAGAAAATGTTTGAAAAACAGTGTAAAAATGCTAAGGGTACAACTTCTTGATGCTGTTTTCTCACATGAATCCACACCACTGTGGGCAAGGCATTAGTGTTTTCCCTGCCTCTAACAGGTCTGATGCAGATAACTATCTAATTAACAAGCTCTTCTTGAGTTAAGAGTGGGTCTGTTAGAAAAGGGAAAACACCAAAATTTACAGGATCCAGTTAGGGAACCCTTGTCATATACCATATGTACATTGTTAAATAAAAATACCCTGGTTACATCTGTGTGTTCACCCAGTGCTATCTGTAGTACATGTCAGTCTTGTGCCTATTAAGATGACCTTTGTCTCAGCATTATCTAGACTGGAATTATACTAGTAGGTCTTATTTGGAGAAATAATTTGCATATCAATAGAACAGTGAAGCGGTAGTGAAGAGGTTTTTGGGGGGTAGGTTGAAGATAGAACTGGTCGGTCTCGACATCATCTTGAAGGTGCCTTTCATCATGTGTGACATGAGATGGCTGCCTTGGCGACCCAAGTGAATTCATACGCTGAGGCTGGTTAATCAGGTGGTGCAAGTTCCTTCTTGACATACTGTTAACGTATGCAGCACAAAAATGTTTGAAATGCAGGCAGCTCAGACAGGCAGACACACTTTTTTTCCCCCTCATTTCAGGATATTTTGACTGTAGACGGTGCAGAACTCAGCATTCATAACACTGATGTTTTGTCTTTTATGCTCTTTCCCCAGCTGACATCATATCCACGGTCGAGTTCAACTCCACTGGAGAGCTCCTGGCCACGGGGGACAAAGGAGGTCGAGTGGTGGTGTTCCAGAGAGAGCAGGAGGTAAGTACATATCCTATACGCTAATCCGAGCAGACCCCCATTTAACTCTTTGTCACCATGGAAAACATTGTTATATATCTGTTTCAAGTTCTACCGGTCGTTTATGCAAGACTTACTCCATAGCGAGCAGTGCATTTTTCGGTTTTGAAATATTTAACTTCAAGGAAACATTTTTTTTCTTACTTAATAACTTTAATTATTTAAATTTTCTAAACAAAACAGATTTTACCACATCAATCAAACGCTTAATTTTCATACTTATTCAAGGAATTTATGAAATGTTTTAATGTAGAAAAATGCTGACAACATTTTTGAAAACACAGAGTTGACATATATTACAATTAATAGGTTTTAAATACATCTTAGTAGCAACATGAAGTCTTTACATGTGTGTTATTCCTTGATTGTCTTTTTCTTTCTGCACAGTGTCTGAAACAAAAGATTGAGCATTAACTGCAAAATCACTTATATGAACTTCATTATCATTAACCAGCAATGACCACATACGTTTCAAAAAGGCTTCTTACATCTAAATAATACGGCATGCTGACAGGGTATTTTGCAGATAGCTGTCTAGGTGGCTTTTCCATTCATGTGCGTTCATGTATTACTACCTTAGTACTGCCCCTGCTTCAACATTTTGTAAAACTTCTGGCGTTTGACTGATAGTATTCTGACAATAGTCAACTTTCTATTAGTATTAGAATGCTAATTTTGAATGAGACCTTATTGATACAGTCTGCTAATTCTGTCTCTATACTATTCTGTTCTACCCTGACCTTGGCTGCTGCTTTGGTTGTTTAAATGAATTTGGACTTTGAGGACTGTTTTGAAGTTCAAATCTTCTGCCTTCTTTTTTCTTTGTCCTCTGATGCTCCTACTGTTTATATATATTTCAAAATCAATAGGTAGATATGAGATGATGTAGATGTGAGATGACGATGGGGTGAAAAAAGGAAGAAAAAGGGTTGGAGGAAAAATAATTTAGTGTACATTGGTTTATAATATATAACCTTACTAAATATGGACCATTCTACTGATTTAGTCCGAACTGCAGTTCCAGGAAAGATAAATGTTTTTTTTTTTATTATTATTTTTGAGTTATGCTTAAAATTAGCTTAAGATTGTAAATAAAGAAACAATCACTACCGAAATATTTGATAAAGTTTCGGTAGTGTTATGATTGTTTTGTTAGTGACAAAATGGAATCTTCAGTCATTTGTTTTAATAAAATAAACATAATTAAAGTATAGGGTCACTCAAAGCAAAGGGATTTTAGCCTGAAGTCTGAGTCAGTTAAAAGTCTGAAATACATATTGAACTCTGACCCTGTTATGGTTCTAGCTTGTAAACTATAGGAGCAAGAACGCCTTCAAATATGGTTTGAGTTCCATGGGATGACATTACCTGAATACAGTCTGAATACAGAGCCCAACCAGACCACTCAACAGTGGGAATCATTCATCAACTGTTCTTTAGAAATTTCTTCTTCTAAGGAAGATACATGTGAATGAGGCCCATTGTATCCAAACCCAGACCCAACTCGAACCACATCATCAAGCTTTGTGTCCAAAACTGGCCCTGGCCCAACAATAATTTGTTCAAAACTGGCTCAGACCGGTCTGTCATCACTCAAAATGCTGATTAAAACCTGACAGCACCAGTTTTTATTATGAGATTCATCAAAGCAGTACCCTCAGCGTCTGGCCCATACACTTTGCCTTTGTTTTTCACCACATGATAGTGGTCATTTAAGTACATGATTAATTTTATGCTCTCAGTAAACATAATTAGTTATAACTAATTCAGTAATACTATTGGGTATTTGTATTTATTAAAACATAAAACATGAAAGTTTTGCTTGTATTTGCGAGTAAATATTTTTTCTTATACTTCGCTGCTCTGAAACACTGACTGTGAGCGTGTTTCTGAAGACATGTTAAGAGACATGAGTTAGAGGCCATAGACAGTGTTACTTATCATTAAATAGGTTAGGCTCAGGTTAACGTAGGTCTGGTTAGATGTAGTTTTAGCTCAGTAGCTTATCATGAGGCAGTCTCTGTTATGCTGAAACAGAGTTGAAAACCGTTCAGTTTCCCTCTTTTTTGGAATAAAAAACATCTTTCATACTCCTTTGCGTCGAGCAAAAATGTTTGTGCGACACTAGTGCCGTTGCCCAAAAAAGTAAGCATTACTTCATTAATTTCAGCCAAAATCTGTTTTCTATTTTTTGACTCTTTTTTTTTTCTTTCTTCCTGGTTACAAAATATCTGTTCATGAACTCCTATGAATATCATAATTAGTCAGAATGCACATCCCTACTATTGACCTACTCACATATGTAGCTGTTTTTGTTTGCTTTCAAACCGCTAATTCTTGCAAATTTAAAGGAATCTTTATAAATGTAATATCTAAAATACTGTACCTGGTCTCTCTTCCTGATGTCGCCTTTATCATTATCTTCTTTAAAGCTGTTTCACGGTATCTGCTAATCTCTCACAGCAGAGAGGTATCTCCTGCTCACCCCACCACACACATACCCCTTTTAACCATCACCCCCCACTGAGGTTAAATCTGTTCCCATTAAGGTGTCTGACTTCTTTCAGCTCGTCTGATTTTTGCCAATTGATTCAGATGCCTCATGAGGAGAAAGCTGACCCTTAGGGCTTCCACAGATCTGCTATTGAGATATTCCACCACCGTGGACCATTTTTCTGGCTAAAGATCATGCTCTGTTTCTCTTGCCTGCAGAAAGAGTCAGGAGAAAAAATGTACACTTAAAAGCAGTGATGTGCCACTGCATTGCAGTACTACTGCCAGGCGTCCTGGGCTTTCAGCCATAAATGACCAAGAACTACAAAAATAACTGCACAAAAACAAAAAACTGAATATGATGATATTTTTTTTAGCTCAATAATTCAGTCTGTCTGTAGGCTATATGTGTAGTGAAGTTATAAAGTTATATTATTTTATTCATCACAAACAGCTGCCTGTCAATTTGCTTACTTGATCATAGACATGAGCTAAACTGACCATTATTTTTCTGTTTTTGCAGAGTAAAAATCAGCCACACCGGCGGGGGGAATACAATGTTTACAGCACTTTTCAGAGCCATGAGCCTGAGTTTGACTACCTGAAAAGCCTGGAAATTGAGGAGAAGATCAACAAGATCCGCTGGCTGCCTCAACAGAATGCTGCCTACTTCCTCCTCTCCACCAATGGCAAGTCAGATCAGTTTTATTCTCACCTTAAGGCTGTATATAAATTTGGTCAAGACTTTCAAATTGTAAAAATTCAGCAAAATAAGTTAACTGTTAGATAGAAATAATTGCTTAAAGCGTTTCACAGATAATATTAATAGAATAATTACAGTCCTAGGGCCTCTATGCTCTGCATATATTTGTGTTTGGCATATTGTAACGCATCTGATTCAACTCATCAACTGATTATTAAACCCTTAATGTGCTGAGTCAGTTGTGCCAGAGCAGCAAAAATGCAAAATTGCACAGTGCATAAGGTCTGCTGGACTGCGATTGAGAAGCAGTGGTACAGTTTCAGATTTAAAGGCAAGGTGAAAAATAACAATAGTACTCTTAGGTCCCCAAAGACCTGAATTGCACACTATTGCAGCTGCAACCACCCAGCATCCATCATGTAGCCCATTGAGCAGCTGTTACTGAGCCTCAGAAAAATGCTGAGTCATTCAGTGGTGGGCTAAAGTGGCATCAGGGAATTAAGTGTTTCTAGCCTTGTGTTGCCAACTCTCATATTCACCAGTTCGCTGACCTCTGCTAAGCTGCAGTAGGTGTTCACTTTCTTTGTAGATTAATTAGTTTCAGAAAGGGTGCCAAAAGGCCAGCACGAAAGCGCTGTGCTATGTTTGGACGCATCACTGTACTAAGAGAGGCAGGCAACAGGAGGGTTTAATCAGGTTAATTGAGAGATATTGATCTTAGCTGAAGTATCTTTTATCTATTCGTGTCATGCCAGCTTCGTTCACTTTCTTTACTGGCTCTCCTTCAGTGAATCAGCAGATTGTTCTCTGTTGTCTTAGCCTAGTCAGTCTGGTGTCTCACACTTGTCCTTTTGACCCCGCCACCTGAGGCTATAATTTACACTGTCCTTCCCATCGCTCTGTCTTCAACATGCTGTATATGGGCTTGTTTTTTTGAATATACAGATAGCCAAAGTCTTAGTGTTCATGTATTTAAATATGGTATTTGAGAAAGGCATGTGTAGTTTGGAATACAAAAATTATATAAATGTAGAACAACAGAGATTGTCAGGATGCAAGCAGCTGATATTGTGTCCTATATTTAGCAAAATAGAGACAGTACTTTGCAGACGTCAGAGAGCACCCTATATTTATGTAATTTCCAGTCAGCCATTAAGTACTTTAGGTAAAAGTTTAAGTCATGTTCTTTTTTAGAATAAAAATAAAAAAATAAAATTACACAGAAGCCTCAACAACTACAACCTCATTTCTGAAAAAAGTTGGGACGCTGTGAAAAATGTAAATAAAAACAAAATGCATCTATGTGCAAATCATTTAAACCCTATATTTCATTGAAAATGCTTCAAAGACAACATAACAAATGTTGAAACTGAGAAATGTTATTGTTAATTAAAAAATCATTGCCCATTTTGAATTTGATGCCAGGAACAGGGTCTAAAAAAGTTGGGATGGGGGCGACAAAAGGCTGGTAACGTTGTGTAATGCTAAAAAAACACCTGGTGGTTAATTGGCAACATGATTGGGTATAAAAAGAGCATCCCATAGATGCTGAGTCTTTCAGAAGTAAAGATGAGGAAGGGTTCACCACACTGTGAAAGACTGTACGATCAAATAGTGCAACAATTCAAGAATAACGTTTATCAACGTAACTTTTGCTTTTCATCATCTACAGTACATAATATCATTAAAAGATTCAGAGAATCTGTAGAAATCTCTGTATGCAAGGGACAAGGTCAAAAACCAGTATTTGCTGGCCATGATCTTTAGGCCCTCAGACGGCACTGCATTAAAAACAGACATGATACTTTAGAGGAAATCACTGAATGGGCTCAGGAACACTTCTGAAAACCACTGTCTATGAAAACTGTCCGTGCTGCATCCACAAACGCTAGTTGAAACTCTAAAACCCAAAGGAGAAACCACATATAAACAGGATCCAGGAATGCTGCCACTTTCTCTGGGCCTGAGCTCATTTAAAACTGAGGGGAAGTGGAAAAGTGTCCTGTGGTCTGACGAATCAACATTTGAAATTCTTTTTGGAAATCATGAACACTGTGTCCTCCGAGCTAAAGACCACTCAGCTTGTTATCAGTGCACAGTTCAAAAGCCAGTATTCATGATGGTATAGGGGTACATTGGTGCACATGGCATGGGTGACGTGCACGTCATGTGAAGGCACCATTAATGCTGAACGATATATTCAGGTTTTGGAGCAACATATGCTGCCATCCAGGTGCATTACAACAGCATTGCTCTGTATTAAAAGAGTCCGGGCGCTAAACTGGCCTGTCTGCAGTCCAGACCTGTCGCCACCGATAACGTGGCACATTATTAAATGCAAAATACAACAAAGGAGACCCCGAACTGTTGAGCAGCTGAAATCCTATATCACACAAAAATGGGAAAACATATCACTTTCCAAATTACAGCAATTGGTCTTCTCAGTTCCCAAATGCTTACAGAGTTTGTTAAAAGAAGAGGTGATGAAACACAGTGGTAAACATGCCCCCATCACAACTTTTTTGGAATGTGTTGTTTATCAAATTCAAAATGGGCATATATTTTTCAAAAAACAATAAAATTTCTCAGTTTCAACATTTGATATGTTGTCCTCCTACTATTTTCAGTGAAATATAGGGTTTAATTGATTTGCACATCATTGAATTTTGTTTTTATTTACATTTTGCACAGCGTCCCAATTTTTTTGGAAATGAGGTTGTAAATATAATGTAACGTTTTTCAGCATTTAGTGTGTCCACTCTTTATTACAGCTTTCATTCTTTAAGGGAGACCACACCTCCAGTCTTACAAGTTGGTTGCATTCCCTGCTTCTCATGATCCAAGTAATCCCAAACACATTCAGTGATGTGAGGTCTGGACTCTGGGTGCTCAGTCCATTGTTCTGAGAACGTCAGCAGCTTGTTTGTTTAATTTGCAGATTCTTTTGTCTGTTTTTCTTAGTAACAGCTTTTTGACAGCTACACATCCTTTCACACCCATAGCATTGAGTTGTCTTCTTACAGTAGTGTGATGGACAAAAACGCCTGTGGATTTTTTCAGATCTAAAGCAAGAGTGGGACTTGCATTTTAAAGATGATAAAATCTTTCAAATATGAAAGCTTTAAGCACTGTTTATCTGATGACTGTAATTTTGGTGATCTACCAGGTTTTTGATGTTTTCTCTGTGTCTAATTTTCTCCAGTTTTCAGTTTTTCCTTCATTATGCATCTATATCTAACCTCCTCACAAATAACTCTTGTACAATGTATAACCTGTACTTGAAGTCTTGTAATTTAAATAAATAAAGGGCTTTGCACAGTACTGTAAGAGTTTTAGTCTATATGGAAATATTTCAAGCAAATGACAAAATCGGACAGTTTAAATTTGGGCAGATCCAAGTCTCCAAGTTGTTTTTCTGTAGATCAGCTGGTAATAAGTGTGATATTGGCCTAAAAAAATAAAAATAAATGACTAAATCATCCAAACTGCCTATACAGACCTTTTATACTAGCAGCACACATCAATCCAAAGTGAACGCTCTTTTTTTCAATGTTGTCTCATTTGGATAATCAAATATTATTCGTTTGTGAATGCTGAAATTTGAATAGCAAAAATGGTTAGAAAGTCCATCCCTACTGCTTGCAGATAAAACCGTGAAGCTGTGGAAGATCAGCGAGAGAGACAAGCGGCCAGAAGGTTATAACCTAAAGGACGAGGATGGCAGGATCCGAGACCCCACCACCATCACGGCCCTCAGAGTAAGCTACCATGTTCTCCTTCTTATTCGTATGTTGTGCTGGCACAGTGCCAAGCATACAGTGAGGCTGATCGTCAAGGCTTAATTTTTTGGCTTTAATTTATGAAAGATGAGGGCTGGTCTCTGTTGTTACTTGGCAAGCATGGCATTCACAAAATGGCAAAGCTGGTTCCTGGACCTTCCCAGGGTGATGGGGAGGATTATGGAAACAGAGTGGTTTCATAGCTTGCCAGGCGCAGCTGCTAGGGCTGAGGGTTTGATATTATCAGGGTGAGGGGAGATGCTCTCAGAGGGGCTTTGGAGGAAAAAGCTGAAGATCCTCAGTGATGTTTCAGGTTTGCCGAAGACTAGAGCAGAAGCAGTCCATCTGTCAGTGCAGACCCAGAGGAGGAGGGTCAAAGAAGGGTCGGGTCTGAATGCCAGAATCTAACCCCCTTCTCTAACAAATACATAGAACCATACTGGGAAAGTGGAATGTGTCCAGACATGACCTGATGTTACTTCTCATAGTAGCTGATACATGTCATATGTTAATGTGGTTGACAGTTTTTGGTAATGCCAGGTTAATACAAATTAATACTAATTAACCCTATCTCACCTAATGTATGGTCACAGTACATTCAGAGACTTCGGTAGAGCAATCTGGCTGTTTGCATGTCCACACTGGTCATAGTAATAAAAAAGTAACCTGGAAAAATGTGGCATTCATTTGATATGTAAACAATGTGGTCTGACAAACCTGAAACCTCAGCATTTTTCATCATTAGTGATTAAACAAAGCAATAATAAGTACCAAACTGTATTGCATTCTGAATAAGATTGCTTGCTTTTGCTACCAGAAAAGATCACAGAGCATCCAACAATAAAGACAGCATTATATAATGGTAGAAAATATGGTTGCACACTGAAAGTTCCAGTTGCACATGCTGATACATTTTATTTATATCCCAACTCCAGTAAAGGCAGATTTAAACAAGTTAAAGGGGACATTACCCATTCCTCTGAATTTATTACTGGTGAGATGTTCAGTTTGATGGGGTTAAATGAGAGAGTAGATTAAAAGGCAGAAAGAGCCATTTTTGTGCCTCAGGACTAAAGAGTTAAAGAGATATTTTAACAATTTCTGAAATCTTGGCAGATCGCTTGCTTCTCAAATTGCTTAGGATTCTCAGTGAATATGATATTGATCTACTCTAGGCGAGTGAGGTGCAGAAAATGTATCAATATTTCGACCTGAGGCTCGCACCAATCATCTCAATCTCTCCTCAGCCTCATTTTGCACAGCGCGCCTTGATTGACCTTTACGTAACGCGCAGCTTTGGGAATCGATGGGAATTGCATTGTGGCGAGCGCTGGAATTCTGGAACATCATCACAACTGAATGAGCCATTGCAGGCAACCTTCTCGTCAGCTGCTGCTGCTCTGACAGAATCTGGCAGACAGTGAGGGAAACAATACGCCACTGAGCTGCTTCTCGTCTGTCTCGCTGTCATTGGTGGCCTGACGGGTCCATGACCAGGCTTCAGCCTGGTCCTTCAAAGAGATACGCAGTAAAAAGCAGTGACAAATTCAGTGCCTGCCTGGGGAATGGGGTGAAGAGTAGTTTCTGTGGAGTACTGAGAGGCACTAGATTTTTTTACCTAGTCCCCACATTTTTAAGGAATACCTCACCTCACTGTACTTTTTAAATGAAACATATGGCTCTTTTTATGATTTTGTGAGTGTGCATGCAGAGATGTTCTCTAGAGTGGAGTTACAAAGGCCAGCAGAAACATAAATTTGCCCAGAGCACTTCAAAGATTATAAACACTGATATAAGCCTACATTTGAACTTACTGTACATAGTACTTCCAAATCTAGGAAGGATGTTGAGGCTCAGATTATAAATTTCATGCTATGGCTTAAAGGATAAACTCTGGATTTTCTAAACAAATCGCTGTCTGTCAAATCAATGGTATTCTGATGCTCATCCCCAATTTTTTTGTCTGAGGCTTTTGTCTTTATTGAGGAACTAAGCCATCAGCTGTGTTTCTCATTAGGATCCAGTGATGGAACTGAAAAAATATTTTTAAAAAGACTTAAAAAACTGTGTCCTGAAAAAGAGACAGAACGGCAGTATTTTGCTAATGTGAACAATCAACCTGATAAGGAATAAAAAACTTGAATCTATCCTTGACCAAACTTAAGTTCAAAAAGGGATGTCCCGATCCAGTTTTTGGCTCTCAGTGCAATTACTTTAATGTCAATCTGATCCGATCTTTGTGTTTACGTAGGTAAGATACACCGATCGGGCATAACATTATGACCACCTCCTTGTTTCTACGTTCATTGTCCATTTTATCAGCTCCACTTACTATATAGGTGCACTTTATAGTTCTGCAATCACAGACTGTAGTCCATCTGTTTCTCTGCATACTTTTGGTCTTTTACCCTGTTCTTCAATGGTCAGGACCCCCATGGACCCTCACAGAGCAGGTACTATTTGGTTGGTGGGTCATTCTCAGCACTGCAGTAACACTGACGTGGCGGTGGTGTGTTACTGTGTGTTGCGCTGGTCTGAATGGATCAGACACAGCAGTGCTGCTGGAGTTTTTAAACACTGTGTCCACTCACTGTCCACTCTATTAGACACTCCTACCTTGTCAGTCCACCTTGTAGATGTAAAGTCAGAGACGATAGCTCATCTGCTGCTGCACAGTTTGTGTTGGTCATCCTCTAGTCCTTCATCAGTGGTCACAGGATGCTGCCCACAGGACGCTGTTGGCTGGATATTTTTGGTTGGTGGACTCTTCTCAGTCCAGGAGTGACACTGAGGTGTTTAAAAACTCCAGCAGCACTGCTGTGTCTGATCCACTCAGACCAGCACAACACACACTAACACACCACCACCACATCAGTGTTACTGCAGTGCTGAGAATGATCCACCACCCAAATAGTACCTGCTCTGTGATGGTCCATGGGGGTCCTGACCACTGAAGAACAGGGTAAAAGGGGGCTAACAAAGTATGCAGAGAAACAGATGGACTACAGTCTGTAACTGTACAACTACAAAGTGCACCTATATAGTAAGTGGAGCTGATAAAATGGACAATGAGCGTAGAAACAAGGAAGTGGTCATAACGTTATGCCTGATCGGTGTACACTAAGCTGCCAGGTACTACTAGTCCTCGTGGTTCAAATGCAGACACTCTAAACGCAGTCTAATGTAACAACCTGGATTGAGATCATTTTTTGGTTTGTTTTTTGCTCTTGATTAGAATTTACTTTATGTTAATTATTGACCTATATTTTTATATTATAAATTGTAAAACTCAAGTTATAAAACCTATTATAAAACTTGATTGACCTATTTAATATTCTTCACTGAAATAACTTTAGTTTTTGTGGACTACTTTGTTTAATAATCATTTTATATTGTTGCATATACACCATGATTTGATATTGTTCTAGGGCACTTTCTCAAACAATGTTGCAAATTGTGAGCGTAAACCATGGCGAGAGTGTATTTTATGCTTCTGGTTGCGGACCAGATATTAGACTTAGGCTTAAAAGCCACACACTCAGTTCATGAGACAGTCTGGTTCCTGTGTCCACCACTGTGAATAGAGCATGTCACATCAAACCAAATGACTTACATCCTAACAATATAATTATGCTGACATTTTGGAAAAATCAGTGAAATTCCCCTTAAAGCTATCAATGTATTAAATTCTTTTACTGCAGAATGAGTTGGTGTATTACTGTGTTGCACCATACTCTTAACAAAGCACTTGTCTTTAGCATTAGACAGGGCACCATATGACACTGTCCTTCTAGTAGGCACAGATTTGTGCTTTTCCCATTGCGCTCACCCTTACAGCAACAGCCATCTACTAGCTTCCTTTTCCTCTGTCTCAGTGGCTGTATATCACAGCAGTCTCCATTTCTACAGACAGCTACTATAATGTGTTCGGGGCAGAGGCCCTCTCGTCCATCACTTCTTCCTTAACTAACACTGCAGCCCACTGGAGACTACACATATTATAGCTGGAGGAGCTGAAAGCCCACCCCCTCAAGCGTGAGGGGCATGTGTGTGAGTGTGAGTTACAAGCAAGAGCATTTATCTCATATAACAGGAGATTCCTGGTGAGAGACTACATGCTTCATCTGCTCCTGTAACCTGCTGGACATCACTGCATGGAGCAAGCTAGTGTTTACTAGCTTTCCTCCTGTTATTACTCACCAAACACACGGGGATTCACTGAGGAGAATTGTTTTTGTAGAGGGAGGGGATATTCTCTCTCAACAGCACAGATCCCAGGCATCTTTAGTAAGGTAGACAAATGTGGGATTGCTGTTTGCTTAGAAACAGTAGACTATGGCAGGGTTTGCACACACTAAAGAACAAAAGATTTAGAGCAGAATAGATCACTGAGGAGGGAAGGCATTTTGTCAGTTGGATATGAATGTATACTTGCACACGCACACACACACTGTTGTTTTTGCACAGATTCCTGCTGTAAATATGATGGCTGTGAGGACATGAATATGAGAGATACCCCTACAATTCACTGAGACATTTATATAAGCTCTACCACCCCAATATTTAACACAAATAGCACATATATTAATGATATATATTATGTCCTGTATGTACATTACTAGCCCTCTTGTCATTAGTGGCTGCCCTAGCAGTTGAACTCAATTAAAGCTTGATTCAAAGAAGATTGCTGAGGCTACAGTGCTTGTCAGCTAAATTTGTGTGCTGACTTTGTTACAGACAAGCCTAGTTAAAAGAGAATACATTTTTCACATTTTCTGCTTAATTTAATGGTTAAGTATGTAGATACGTAAACTAAATAATTCAGAATACTTCGATGTGAAATGTGAAATTTTTTTGGACCAGACATCCAAAGTATTCAGAGCCTCTTAAAAGCTATCCCACAGAAAACTATATAAATGAAATATGTTGCCTGATGGCAGAGCCATTGTTTTTTACTGTTGTTTCAGGTCAATTTTTAACATAAAACATATATGAGCTACATGCAGGGCATTATAAGGCAAAATAGTCCCCAAAGAAAACCTCTTTACCACTATTTCACTATCATCAGCATTACACGTAAAACCTCATTAGATGTGTAGGTTCGGTGGTTGTTTTGGATTGTAAATAAAATGACTATGTCTCTGTTGTAGACGTTGTGAGCTCTGGTTCCTATCACTACCATTGTAAAGAAGTCAATAGACTTCTCTTACAGTACACCCTTTCACACTCTAAATAGCTTTGTTCATATCTCAGTGTTTGAATCATGCATAAATGTAAAAAAAATGGAATGAAATAGTGGAATTCCCTGGTAAGGAGAGCATGGCTGAATTATCGACACTCCGTGCTGTGTATTAATAAACATAAATTGCAGTTGACAATAAAAATCATTTGATGTATATCTTGTTTATTTGACATAGCTTGTCTTGATTGATCGCATTACATTTTATTTCCATTAACAGCTCATTAAGGCTTAACTAAGTGGGGGAGCATGATTGCATATTTTAGTCTTGTATTGACTATTTCACAAAGCATGATAAACATAGGGCATTTTAATTCCACATAGAGAGATTCTCGATCCTCCCCCTCCAAACCCCCCTAAAAAGGTCCCCATGTGTGCAGTGATAATGACCTGCCTCAGCAGCATCCCCCCACCCCTACCCCCCATCACTCTAAAGAGCATGGCGTATCCACGGTGCCAGGGCCATCATTACAGCGGGACTTTCCCCATAAAGTGATGGGCGAGGGGGGTACATGGCCCAACCCCACTGCAGGGAAGCCTGACTGCAATGTTGCACCCCTGCAGCTCGGCACATGTAGGAGCTGCTCGCTTTAGATTAGTCATCATTAAAGGTCTGGCTCTGCCACAAAAGAATCATGATTCCTGTTATAGTACACACAATGTTGCATGGTCAGACCGCACTGGGGGATTGAGTTTTTTGCAGTGCCATTTGGATAGTGGATAGTGGATAGTAGATGGATACAAATAATTGTGGCAGAGAATACTTCAAAAACAGTTTACGTAACAGATCAAGTTTTAATATTAATCAGGGGCAATACACACACTGTACCATATATTTAGAGTTGGGTGAAAAATAGGTAACTATTTTAGCAAAAGAAAGAGGAAGAATGAAACTACATTAATTACTGGTGCAGCATCATACAGACAACAGATGAGTAAGACTTGGAGATCTTCTGGAATGTCCTTCAGGATAGGGTTAGGAATAAACGTAAAATTTGATGAATGCATACGTTTTAGAAGCTGGGATTTTTGGTTCTGAATGTAGAAAAGCTAACAAGCTAGTTGTGAGAAAAACATATTTAAGAACATAAATCGACTAAACACACTGAAACAACCATGTTTCTTTTGAATTTTGATATTATTAAGATCGAGATTGATTATGAGTATGATTGACATATGTCTGAAAAACCTGAAGAGTAATTACTTTGTCTTTGTACTTGAGCATGACTGCTTTGTAAATGAGAATATAGGCTTGTTTCTTTTTGATGTTAACTGCTACTTTGTGGCAGTGTTTACCAGATTACCAGTTGTTGTTCTGCATTTTGTTTGTTCTAAGATTTTGTTTTTATTCCACTTACATAACATCCATATGATAAATGCATTATTGATATCTGTGAGTAATTCAATTATAACCATGTAAAACTAAGGCCTTTACCTTTAGCACAGAATAGAGTCACTTAAATCGTATTCTTATTCATTCATTCATTTTCTTTCTATTCTTTAAATCCCTTTTCTATTTACTCTGTCAGGTGCCAGTGTTAAGGCCCATGGACCTGATGGTGGAGGCTACACCTCGCCGAGTGTTCTCCAATGCACACACTTATCACATCAACTCCATCTCGGTCAACAGTGACTATGAGACATACATGTCCACAGACGATCTGAGAATCAACCTGTGGCACCTGGAGATTACCAACAGAAGCTTCAGTATCCTTCTACCAGGCTTGACGTACGCTTTGCTTTTTAAAAAGAGAAACTGAAAAGCCTCTGAAAGAGTAGATGTAAGGACATTTAGTACTTTGACTTTATTATCTTTGTTTCAGTGCAGAAAAAGGAGTTTCAAATTGGTGTTTGAAAATGTATCTGGATACTTCATTTCACTGAATAATTCAACAACTTCATTTGATGTGTAATTTGAAATCAGAGAACTATGATATCAAAATGTACATGAAAAAGTCAGCAGGCACCACCAGTAAACAGTTCCTGTGGTCTTTTTAAGGCCAGCACCTAGCCTTGGCAACTAACCCAATGCTGATGCTTATAGAGGCCATTACCCTTTATCAGGCATCCATCACTGATCTGGATCCTTCCCAGCGGTCAGCTGGGGTCAGTCATAAATAGGCACGTGTCCCCATTGATCACTATTGATCAACAGTCTAAAGGCCTAGAGTAGAAGATAAGAGAGATCTGCCTTGGACACACTGAATAGATGGCTGGTGGGGTGGGATGCTTTACGGGTGAAGAGACCACTATTACCATGGCTTCTCTTGCAATATCAGGCAGGAAGCAGGCAGTAATCTTTTGATCCCATATCACACCATGATGGATGACCTGTCACTGCTAAAGATAAACATATAGGCTTCCTGAAAATCTCTGGGGAATATTTGCTCTGGAACAGGTTGCTCAGATTGGAGACTAAACCCAGTGTACATCTGGATTATCCTGTCATTTGTGGAATATAGGGGCAGTTATATGGAGTTCCATTAGCTGCTGGTAGCATGTTTATTTCAGTATATTTTATATTTATGTTTTAAAACAGAACAACATAGCTTTGTTTCACAGCGGTTAGCAAGAACAACAAAGCACTCCTCAGCACACTTGCATTTCATGAAGTGTGAAAGGGGCATCACCCCAGTATTAAAGGCTGTGATTGCTGGGTATCCTTTGTAATTTCAACATTTATATGTAGTTCAGGTCAGTGAAGGATTATTTACCCATAGCTCCACATAAGGAAATGCTAAAATGTTTATTTCCTGACAAGACAGTAAAAAAGGATGAACAGGATGTAGACCCCTAATGGAACAACTCATCGTGGTGAGAGGATTGATGACTTTGAAACTGTTAAATTACATCGATTATTCGTAATCAGTTTCAGCAAGGGACAATTTCTTTGACATTGCAGAAGGGCATCAACTTTTATGTGCTTTCTTACCTACTTTGTTTGGTGCAGACAAATGTAACCTTTTCAGTAATACAGTAATTTTGACATATGAACACCCACACCTGTTGCTGCTGATGGGAATGCATTTTTATCAAGGTCCACGACCAACGAGGGAATTCAATATTAGAACATGCTTTCTGCTTCTTCGAGCAACATGTCGGTGCTGTTGTGTCCACATAAACTGCTTGTTTTAACATTTGACTTGTGATAGGCACTCAATCTTTCTGGCAGCACAAGCCTCTGCTAAGAATGGCAGCAAGCAGTGAAATAATAGCAGTGCAAGGCATTTGATTTTGCCACAAGGATCACAGAACCATTTTTTGAAGGATTAGTGACCGTGGCTGGGTTTCCTTAAAGCATCTTAGCCCAAAGATGGTTCTTAAATGTTAGAGCGAGCGTCACACTGAACATTTTCTCTACTAGGTAAGCTGATCTTAAGCTGACTAAGAAAACTGGGCCCTGCATGGTTGAATTCAGACTGACAAATCATTCTACCATAAAAGACACAGAAATCTAATTATTCGTGCTTCATAGATGTCTATTATAATACACGAGTTGGATAATACATTAATATCAGTAATATGTGGGTATTGAAAGCCAGATCAATCAAAGTGATAGGCTAGTGAAAGTGAAATGGTCATTCCACTTGACTCTAATGCAAAAGTAACAGAGCATGTGTGTCCCAGCTACATTTCTGACCAAATCAACAAACAGCTTCATGTATAATTTGGTGCACTTTAGCTGCTGCAATTCAAAACCAACTGAACAAGATACAGATGTCAAAAATGTACACTCAGGTTCAAACTTAAGAAAAGAAGCTAGATATGAAAACAACCTTATATTTCAACATACAGGGATGTTTATGTTGTGGTTCCTTCACCCTAACATTTTAGACATTGTTGACATTAAACCAGCCAACATGGAAGAGCTGACAGAAGTAATCACTGCGGCTGAATTTCACCCCAACCAGTGCAACACATTTGTCTACAGCAGTAGCAAGGGCTCCATTCGGCTGTGCGACATGCGAGCAGCGGCACTCTGTGACAACCACTCCAAATGTAAGTTTGTTCAACATTTGGCAGATCGTAAGAGCTTGAAAGCCTCAGTAATTCTACAAATACTGCAGGTTACCATAAATGGACAGATTAGAAGTAGTTTATGTTTCCATTCTAATGGAATGTTACTATTGTTTGTTCCCACATATTCAGTCTTTGAGGAGCCAGAAGACCCCAGTAATCGCTCCTTCTTCTCCGAGATCATCTCCTCCATTTCAGATGTGAAGTTCAGCCACAGTGGTCGTTATCTGATGACCCGTGACTACCTCACTGTTAAGGTGTGGGACCTCAACATGGAGAACAAACCTCTGGAGACCTATCAGGTAATGTGTTTAACACGAGTCTCCAAATAGGTTAGCTGGGATAAATGACTGGCTAGACGCCACCAATTCACAGCAAATAACGAGTTAAAGTTCTTACAGTATTCTTTTTATGCAGCTGTACACAGGAAGATGTTCCAAAATAGTGTGTTTGCTACAGAACAATACAATTAGAAGTCAAAAGCTCAGGAGTACTCAGTTTATTAATTAATTAGCCAGTAATAGACATGGAAATGTTCACAAGAAAGGGTACAAGGCATAGCTTGCTATTCCACACAAGTTAATACCTCTCAGCATCCTCATGTACCCTTTCTCTCCCCATCCATGACCCCAGCTAAGGAAAAAAAAAATGCATTAAACCATTCACATTATTCATTTCAACTGAAGTACCATAAACTAACCTGTTCTTTATGATCCAGTAGTCAACACCATTCTCTGATCCATAACCAACAAGCAGCACAGCATGGTTCACTTGAGAAGCATCACATAGTGGTTCATCATAAATTCCTAAGCAATTAAAGAAATGTTTGTTTGAAAGGTACATTTTATATTACCTTAAAAAATCTAGGGTAAAGGTGCTGGAAACTGGAAGGTCAGTGCCTACAGGCATTTGCTCCAACCACATATCCAAACAGTTTGAAGTTACTATCCTTTAAGGAGGACAGGTTATGGCCACTGGCTCAAAACTATCTTTATACCTTGTTTGGACATACCCTACACAGTCGGGGCAAAAAAACGGTACTGTGCTGATACATTTTCATTCATTAAAGAACAATGTACAATACTGTATCCCCCCCGAGGACAGTTACGCATTGACTGAAAGAAAAAGCCTG